ATCAACTTTGAGCGCCGATCTGACCCCTTCAGAAGTAGTGCGCAATGGCCGGTGGTGGTCTACCACGCGACAAGAAAAAACACTCTCAACTGTTATGCGTCCTTGCTGGCATTTGTCGATCCCTGACGTCAGGGACTCGGACCGACCGCAAGGGACATGCGTCTCTCTGCATTTCTGTCACTCTGGCGCGGTGTCGAGCGCGGGTGCTGTCAGCTTTCGTGAACGCACATCAATAGTCCGGACGGCGCCCCGGGTTGGGACATGATTCCGTCATTGAACCGAATCCCTCGCGTTGTCGGCAGCCGGGACCCTTGAAGGGCTCCTGGAAGCTGGAGGCCCTGGAATTCAGAAGGGGGCTCGGACAAGGGGAATCCGAGCAGCGCAATGAAGAGGCACGAAACGGTGGGACAGACAGGAGGCAGAGGCAGGAACGAGATCAAGCTTGACGCAGGAGTCGGGGAGATTAGTCCGGGCTTGAAATATCTGACATGGGCGCGCAGCATTAGAGACTTCTGTACCGAGTAGAGTGAGTGGGAAATAGGAAGACAACAGGAAGAGGCTGGAGAAGCGCGGCGTGCGGCTGTGTTTGTAAGAGTGAAACTGAGCCGCCGTCGGGAAGTTATTTGCTGGGACCAAGAGTTCGGAGGGACTCCGCGTGTAAAGCCACAGCTATTCCCGGATAAAGGAAGATGCAACGGCGACTGGCCGATGAGGATGAGGATGAGGAGGGAAAAGAGGGTGGTCAGGGATCTGTTCGATGCTTGAAGCCTGCGGGATGACGCCAAAAACAGCCATACGGGATCTTCTTCTAGACTCCGCCGGGGAAGCCAAATTCTCACCTATGGGGCGCGAGTTCACTAGCACTCTTTACCGAACAGTCTCCTCTCACCATCCGAACCCAGCCGTCTTATTATTCCTATCCATACTTTTGTTTCTCTTATGTGAATCTCACTGAACCACTCACACTCCGAATGATCCCATGAGCCCCAGCCACGGAGAATAATCAAACAGCTTAACACAAGGAATAATGATGGAGATTGAATGAGAAAACGTGAGATGGCGGTAAAAATGGAAGCTCAGTGGAAGACTTCCGGGGTTGGTGAAACAGATTGGCAGGTGCCTAATGCGGGACAAGACTCATTTTCCCTGTCAGAGATCATTCAATTTTCTGCGGGGAGTTGCACTCAGTGTGTAAAAACCACCTTCAGGTACCGACGCTAAGATGTAAAGATGCAAAGAAATGGAACTCTCAAGCCATGTTGCTGTGCCGTATTTTCCAGACGAGAGACATTCTAACGTCGGACCCTTGCTCTGTGTCTTTTCTTCTTTGCGTGTAATAGATCATAGACGGTACGAATAGATCATGGATGGCAACATTCGAAGGAACGAGACCTTGGGGCCCTTCACTCCGTCCACGCAACACTCAATCTCTTTTCTCACTCCAGCTCATCTCATCTCACACTAACAACTCACGAGACTGATAGAAGGATCACGGCGATTGAAAGTCGCACCGCCGTGCCTCCGCCGCCGCCTCATTCATCCTCCCCGAACTTCCAACGTCCTTCTCCTGTCACTCGCCCTACCCATCATCCCGTCCTTCGGACTCATTGACATAATCCTATCCCTCGGCCTCGCCTTCGCCTTGACATGTCATCCAGACACTACTCCTCTAAAGTCTCCCCTCCGTCATCCTTGTCCGACCACCCCCGCGTCCTTGCACGCCTTAGTGTCACACACCCCCCTCCCCCCTTCTTCTTCCCGCCCACCTCACTTTTCCGAACACGGCATTGGTCCAATGAACATCGCAATGAGCCGTCTGATCCTTCCGAAGGGGGTTGTTTCTCAATGAACTAGAGCTTGCAGTGTGCAGCTTCGTACAGCGCAAAGAGAAGCAAGGCAAGCTGGCAAAGCAAGGTACCGAGTCGCACCAAGGGGGTGTCCTTGCCACAAGATGATCCGTTTCCCAGCCTATGTGAGCTTATTTCCTTGGCTCTGGGTATCCGATCCTTTCACTCGGGCATCTTGTATACTTATTTAACCTCTCCGCTGCCCATGCGTCTCATCGTGAACCCGCGTCTGTAGTGTCTCATCGTAGCAGTCGTATACCTCACTCATCTCACTCACACCTAGAAACACCTCACGCTGCTGTTAATCACTTGAGCATCAGACATCTCACCACCATCATGTACTCAAACGTCTTCCTCCTCCGGTGGGCAGCCACATTATTGGCATCAACCTCTGCTGGTAAGTTCATCTTCCATAATACCCCAGATTTTTACTCTAAATCTTCAACGGCATCACTAACCCACTCAAAAGTCTACGCCGCCCCCGCGCAGCAAGCCCCGGCACTACACTCAAGAGCCGACTTCAACATCCTCGTCGGCGGCAACGTCTCCCTCCGCCTCATGCCCCTCGGCGCCTCAATCACCTACGGCCTCACCTCCTCAGACGGCAACGGCTATCGCAAGGTCCTTCGCGACCTCCTCGTCGCCGACGGGAACCCCGTCGACATGGTCGGCAACCACCCCAACGGCACAATGGAAGACAACGACAACGAGGGCTGGTCCGGCTTCCGCATCGAGCAGGTTCTCGCAAAGGCCAAGATCTCCGTCCCCGAGACGCTCCCGAACCTGGTTCTCATCAACGCCGGCACAAATGACTGCGCGCAGAGCTATGACACGGATAACGCGCACGTTCGCATGCTCGAGATGATGAACTACATCTGGGACACCTCCAAGCGCGCCACAATCGTCCTCTCTACCCTCCTCGTGAACGGGAACAACAACACGGAGGCGTGCGTCCTCAAGGTCAACGAGCAGTACAAGACACTGGCCTCGGAGCAGCAGGCGATTTCCAAGAAGGTCGTCCTCGTGGATATGCACTCTGACAAGGGCCCGCTCAAGAGCGATCTCGTTGATGGCACGCACCCCAGCGACGCGGGCTACGCAAAGATGGCGCACATCTGGTTCGATGGCATCAAGGACGCTGCGTCGCGCGGCTGGCTCGAGTCCCCTCAGCCTCTGCCTGAAAGCAAGAGGTCCGAATGACTCAGAAAGATTGCGCCGCTGCTTTACATCGTGTTCCGCTTTGCCGGATCCCCAGAGCCGTCGAGCTCATAATGCACACACCATAGAACAAGGCAAGGACAGGAGGGGAATCGCATGATACAACTGTAATGTTACTGCATCATCGCTCTACAAAAGTAATTAGCAATTCATCAAAACGGCGTTCAGGGTGGGCCACAAAAGGCTTGGAGGATACTTTTTACTTTCAATCTTCAGACAAATCACATACAATTCAATCAACTCAAGTGTCGATGAACTAGCCAATGAGACCCATCAAGTGAGATGCTATGACTTTTCTTACCGAGGGAACACAGTAGCTTCCCGAGGATGTGAACGGGTACAACTTCAGATGAGTTGCGTCGATCAGCTGATCGCCGGGATCCACGGTGAGATTAACCTCAGGATGACTCCGCTCGGGTCCGGTACGATCAACCGCAGACTCCATTCTCTCATCATCAAATACTTCATTGCATCTCCAATCATCAAAATATATAGCCAACATGTCTCGGTCAGTGTTCGCCGCCGTGTTCCTCTCCATCTTCTATCTAGCCAAGGTCGCAATCTACGACCTCTCCGTAACCAATGGCCTCATGGACTCCACAGAGTCGGCCCTTGCCGGAGAGCCGATTACGTTCACCACGTTGAAGCCGCTGGACAGCCTACTCACTATGCTCGTCCGGTTCTTCAAGCCCATCCTTGACGGCAATGACCCGAATCTTACCTTGTTCTCAATCTTCATGGCCGGCCAACTGCTCGCCGTGCATGTCCTCATTCAAGTGGAAGGTCTGAGAGCCGGAAACCGAGAAAGACTGGTCTCCTAGTGAGTTCGTCCTTGACAACCTCAGTAGAAGCCAACCCTAACAAGTGAACAGCACGACCTCCTGGGGAATGCTCTGGCAACTCATGACCTTCGGCGCCACTCTACCGCTCTATTTCCTCGCATACCTCTACACCTCCCCGATCCCAGGGTCCTTAACACCAGACGAACTCGCAGCCGCAATCTCCATCGACCCAGTCCAAGCTCGCGCGGTCATCGGCTCCCTCACCTTTGGCGCTTTCATCCCAACGCTCCTCGCAGCGCTCCCGAGCCCCAGCATCATCACTCCGCGCACCCAGGAGATCCTCCTCGCTGTCTGGCAGGCCTTCCCCCTCTGGTCCGACATCTGGCAGTTGATCTTTGCCCAACTCATCAGCGCTCTTGGCGTGGTCCCTTCAGCCGCAAAGTCGAGGCCGCAGACGAAGATCAATGACTTTCGCAGGATCTACACTTACGCCCTGTCTGTTATTGCCGTCACGACCTACGGCGTCATCGGTTATGTCTTCTGGAAGGCTGACTGGGCTTCGGAGACCGCAATCGAGGCAATGGTGCAGATTCTTCGTCCCACTTCGCCGTGGTCTCAGGTGAAGATGGTTTCGTTAGAGAGGGGCATCTTGGACTTGCTGCAGTGGGATACGTACTGCGCTTCCTTGGCGACGTGGAGCTGGATTGCCTACCTGGCGTATGGGACGAAGGGCGTCGGGCAGGTTGTGATGGACTTGGGTAAGTTGGTTATGTGGAGTGCGCTTGTTGGGCCTGGCGGCGCGGCGCTTGCTGTTATTTGGGGACGGGATGTCGGGGCTGTCAGCAAGGCGGCTGGCAAGAAGAAGACTGGATAAGGTTTCGATATGCTTGTTCATTCAAGTCTAGATATGTATCAGTTTCGATCGTAAACAAATGAATTCTTTGGCACGAGAATAGAATATTAATGTATTTGACGTCCTTCAAGGCTCTGCCAGAGATGCCACGAGGTAGATGAAACATAAAACACCTCCGAGCCAAAACGAGCGTAGGGGATAAAAACCACAAGTACACCATTGACAATCTTGTCCGATGATAAAGCCAGCCAACATCTCCGGACGCTCTCCCTTCATTTGAATTATTCGAAACATCTTGCTTTAAGCGGTGCGACTTTGTCGGACTTTACCAAGGCTGGAGTCTGCCCCAAACTCAGGCAGCATGCGCTTCCCAGGGGCTATCATAATTTCAACTTTTTCGAAAAATTAGCTTCGTCGACTAGAACACATGCAGGTTTATATAACAAAGAAATCAAATACTTACAGAAAAGTGTAAAGAAGAGTGTAAAGAAGAGTGTACTCCAGAAGATGAGAATCACAGGAACCCAGGTCGTCAAAACCATAATTTGCCCGAAGCTCCATTCGAGTTGCGGGTCACCCGCTGCGCCGCTGTTGATAGTCTGTTCGCGAAAATCAAAGAAGATGCCGAGTGTCGCGAGCATCATGCCCATCAATATCGTCTGCACGACCCGGGATTCGGCTGCGAGGAGTTGTGCTGGTGATTGTTCTCCCTTTGCAGCCTTCGAAGGTGTCGACTGTTCCCGCTTTCCAGAGGTTTGACCAAGCGATGAACCTCCCACACCAACGTTTTGAGATGTCTGGTCTTCTTTGTCTCCAATAATTTGAGTTGGCGGCTGTTTCTCCTGTCCACCTGTTCGGTTCGACGATAGTCCATCCTCTTCAGATTTCGGATCCGAATCCTGATCACTTTCTCCAGCTTCAGGAGTCGACGGTACTTCCTTTCCGGCTGTCCCTTTTTTCATATATGTGACTACCAAAACAGTCAAACTGCAGATAGCCATCATGAATACGGTGACACTCACAGACACCTGAAGGAATACCCTCACCCTTCGGTCACTCTGCAGCGTGTCCTGGAGCAACTGTTCGACAACCTTGGGCAGCTGCACGGTTTGCCACACTATCAAGCTGACCAACGTCACAAGTAGCACCCCTAAGAGGGCCAAGACTGCAACAGTGGTCAAAATCACCAGGCCCCGACGTCTTGCTGCTTCCTGAAGCATCAAGCTAGCCATGAATGTGACCTGAATACTGAATAGCGATGCCAGAGCCGAGAGTTGCGAGTCATACACGGTGAGATCTTCGCCAGCCATCCATCGTTCGACTTGTCTGTCTTGTCCGTTGCCTGAGGCGGCAGCGGCGGTATGGATCGAGGCAGTTACTAAGCCTAGACTCAGGAAAACGGAGCTCGAGTAGAACGTTTCCAAGATCTCTTTAAAAGCACTCATGAGGCTGCGGTAGGTCGACATCCGCCAATCTGGGACGCGGTTTTTGGGTCTTCTAGGGCCTTCAAGATGCGGTTTCCGGCATAATATTCCACAACCTTGGCGACATAGAAAGCGATAATGAGCCAGGCCTCGATACAGAAAGTGACCATAACCTATATGCACATGTGATTAGCTTCGTAGTTCCTGAAAGTCTGGTTGTTTCAGCTCACCCCAACACCCGCGATATCAGCGTTGCCTTGAATCCCAAGAGACCAGCGGAGCTCGTCGATACACGTCGTGTTTGCCGACTTTTCGAGCTCTAATTGGACTGCATCTATGAAATCCAAGGCACTCGAAGTTGTTTCAACGTCGCAAGTAGCATTAGCGATCATTGAGACACAACCACACGCAGATAGGTACCAGGACGCTATCTGCTGAGGCGTGCCGTAGCCAAGCTCTCCCGTAGAATTGGTCTTGAAGGAGGACTGAACCAGATTGGAAAGGGCGTTGATGTGGACATTGCAATAGTCCAATTTCGGAGAGGTGCGGATAATGCTGTTTGCAAAGTTGCCCAGTGACGAACAGTTGGCGGTCACATTCCAAGTCAAGTTTGGCAGCGATGCCCACCAGGGCAAAGTCATGTTGCGGGACATGGCGCCCGGTCGCGGAGTGTGATTAAAGCAGGCTCGAGAATAATGCAGACAATAGCAGAAAGTAAGAGTCGAGAAGAGAGCTCGGGAAGAGGTGTCAAGAAAAGGGTTCGAGGGGGGAGGTTCGAGAAACAAGATCAAGAGAGTAGCTCGAGAACAGGGATCGAGAGGCTTTCCCAAGAAGAGGGATCGTGAAGAGGTATCAGGAAGGAGTATTGAAAAGGGGTATCAAAAGCGAATACCAAGAAGGGGTATTAAGAAGCAGCGCCAAGAATGGTTATGAAGAAAGGGTATCAAAAATGAGAACCAAGAAGGAGTATCGAGGAGAATGATCAAGGAGAAGGATGAAGAGGGAGAACCAAAAGGGAGGATCAACAGGGCCATCCTATACTTATAAATGCTGAATGAGCGCGGAATATGTATGTGTGTGCGCGCGCCTTGGAATGGGTTCCTACAGCAAGCCTACTGCCCAACTCAATGTATCAGGGTGGCCGGCTGCCTCCCGCCGAAGAAGACATCAACTCAAAGCCTCCGTGATGGAGCGAGCAATGACGTTGTCTTGAGAAAAGAGAGAAGCCCTGAATTTCTCGGGTACCTTGCATCTACCTTTGGCGCGCATTACATTGCAGCAGCTTCATCGTGTCCAAATTTTGAAGCGAAACAGGCCGCCGAGGGACGATCTAGGCCATGCTTTAGACTACCATCTTTGCCATACAGTTTCATGAGGTTGTGGCTACGATATGTTGAATGGGTCGGAGAGCAATATTCGGAGTTGAGGGCGAGGATTCTTGCTTCAGTAACCGCCACAGTCGGACTCATCATACTTTGACCCCTTGCTCAGCTGAATGAACGAGCTTCGTAAGTTGGTAGATGTTGACGTCAGGGAGTCGCGGGTGGTAGGAACGAAACGGACACGACTGGCAACTGACAGGCTCGAGACGACGAAGAGTCCAAAGACGTAGTGTAGTGGGGAAGAGGGGTGGAGGTGTGGGATACGCCAGGAACGCTTGCGACTACGCGGCGCCGGACACACGCGCAGAATGTTCTACGCACCTTCCAGACCCTCGCACTCTGCAATCCTAGTACGACTGCGAACTCATGTTCCCGGTTCCGAACGCAGCGATGCAGCTAGTGGTGGCGGCCGTTTCACTCCTGGCCAACGGCTCCGCCGATGGTTGGACTGACGAGCTGAAATCTGACAAGCTGCTAGGGTTGTGCAAGTGCTTCCCCTCGGCCAATGAATCAATCCCATTCTCCGAGAAGACAGAACATGCCTTTGGCAAGCCCAAAGCAAGTCATCCCATGTACGCGCCTCTCTTCTCCTGTTCGGACATCCAAGTGAACACGCAGCACGGCCCCGACCACCTGGACGTGAAGGAGGATGACCGGTCTGCGGATGTGGCCATTGTAAAGTTGGAATACTCGAGAGTTCCGCCCACCAGTCCTAACTCCCCCTTCTTCGGCACACCACTACAAGTAACGGCGGTCGCGGGGTGTGCATGGCTGCATGGGCTGCATGGATGGCTACTGGTGCAGTAAATCAGGCTCTCGGGAGTCGGACCCCAACCGATGAAGCTTACTTCCTCTTGGCACCCGGCTGGGCCCCTCCTACGAGACCAGAACCAACAGACATCCTTTCGGTAACTAGTAGTCCATCATATCGTCAAGAACGCAAAAAGATGAGTTGAGGACAGCCCGACTCGAACGGACAGCCTTCTGGACTGGAATCAGATACGCTACCATTGCGCCACGCCCCCGGATTTTTGAGAAAATTAGCCCTCAATCGAATGAAATGAGCGGAAATCCAGAATTCTGGAGGTCCCGGGAGCGAAATATCGACAAAGGGGGGCAGGAAGCGTGACGGTTGTTGTTTGTTCCAAGTTGGTGTAAGTGAACGCGGGCCGTGTGAAGTCGTGAACTAGTGGGAGCTGACCGAGCTCACCGGTGCACGGGCCATATCAAAGTGGTCGGAGAATCTTTGGCTCCGCTTCGGTGTCGGACTCACCGAGGTGAACAGAAGTGGACCTTTACTTTTCGCGACTCCAAGTTCTTGTCGCATTTTCCATCTAGTTGCTTCCAGCCTTCCGTACTGGTCCTTCCTTAACAGACCACCACCTTTTCTACACCTCTGCAACCAAATCCAAGCAAAGCACTTTCCTCCCTCATCGAAAAGGACCACCTCGAAAAAACGTCAACAACCAAAAACCCACAACCAACCCTCTCCTCCACATCGCGAAACACCTTCCCATAAACCACAAAGATGGACTACCAAAACCGCGCCGGCTCCAAATTCGGCGGCGGCGGCGTAGCCTCCTTCAGCGCAACAAACGCAGACCGCCGCGAACGCCTCCGCAAGCTCGCCCTCGAAACAATCGACCTCGACAAGGACCCCTACTTCTTCAAAAACCACGTCGGCTCCTTCGAGTGCCGCCTCTGCCTCACCGTCCACCAAAACGACGGCTCCTACCTCGCCCACACCCAGGGCAAAAAGCACCAGACCAACCTCGCCCGCCGCGCCGCCCGCGAACAGAAAGAGGGGAAACAAAACATCGACCCGGCGACCGGGTTACCTGTCGGCGTCGTCGGCGCCGGCTTCGGCGCGGGAGGCGCGAGGCGGAATTTGATCAAGATTGGACGGCCGGGGTACAAGATTACAAAGATTCGCGATCCGATCACGCGTCAGCAGGGGCTGCTATTTCAGCTTCAGTACCCGGACATCGCGCCCGACGTGGAGCCCAAGTGGCAGGTCATGAACGCCTTCACGCAGCGCATCGAGGAGCCGGATAAGAATTTCCAGTACCTCCTGGTGGCGGCGGAGCCGTACGAGACGTGCGGGTTCAAGATCCCCGCGCGCGAGCTGGATAAGCGTGACGATAAGCAGTTTAGCTTTTGGGATCCCGATGCGAAGGAGTATTGGCTGCAGGTCATGTTCATGTCGGAGCGCGAGGAGAGGTATGTTGCGGCGCCTGGTACGAGGAGGTGAAGTGGTGGGAAGGGAACAGCTGCGTTGTTGTTCGCGGAAAGGGTGTTAGAAAAGGCTGTATAAAAACGACATGACGGGAGGGGTTTCTGGGGCATGCCACGAAGGCAGTTCTGCTTCGCTCAGATATAGGATTCACCAGGAGACTGTCTCTCATAGTGATCAGGGTTCGTGCCTCGGACAGCATTGAAGCAAACGGTTGTTATCTGGGTCAACTTGGTCAGCAGTGGCCCACATGGCCCTATTCCAGTGACATCAGGGGGTGTCATATCACGGCGTTGGGCGTGGGTAATTCGAGAGAGGGAATTGTTTGTAAGACTTGCTTTTGCTTATCAGGCCCCCGGGCAAGGAAATAGAAGAGCTGACATGAACCTTCAGGAGAGGTTCCGACGTGGCACTGGGCCATGGAGTTTAGCAGAAAGCTTTGGCTTCATAAGTTACATTCAGAGATTCCTATGAAGGCACCTTATTCAACAAGTACCAATAGTAAGACAAAACAGACAGAATGTAGACCCATCAACAATGAATGTAATCTGACCACAAGTCACTTTTATCAAGTAGTGCAAAGTTCGAATCCTGACAGAGGCTTATACAGAAACTTGATGCGGTCCTTCAAGACACTGGGAGAGGACGAGGCGTCTAGCACTTCCTAGACGGTGGACCTGCAGTGTGCTTTTCGCCTGTGCCCAATCGGATTGAAAGAATGGTGAGAAGTTCGTGGCCAAACAACCTACGTAACTTACTCAAAGACAGTATACACTTGAAGATGTACCGTCTATAGCCACCAGAGGCCGACAATAAAACCACCACAAACATTCTGAGCCATCAAGTCCCAAGTCTTGTTCTCAAATGCATCGTCTGGATTGCATCTATCACTTCACTGTTGCCAGTCGTCCTCATGACTCTCTGAATCCCAGTGTCATCCATCACTGATAGATCCAGCATTACCAGTACATCCTGACATCCCCTCCTCACGCTGCCCCCTACTATCCGTCTTCTTCATCATGTTTCTCATAATGAAAACTCTAGTGATCCGCGGCCGTCTCGACTACATACCCCCTTGAAAGACATCTCGTTTTCACTCTCCCATCTACATGATTTGTGCGACTTGGTGTCTTTGATGCGAGTAAACGCCCTGTATGCAGTGATTGAAAACAAAAAACAACGGTAAATGCAAATCTTGTAAGACAAGAATCTGGGTGTATTGGTTTGGCAGTAGGCAAAATGGAGTCGCCAGCGAATCACTGATAGGTATTCTCTTGGTCCTCCGAATCTCCGCGTCTTGCTCGGCATGATATCGGTACACCCCGGGATCGGGATACAAGTCGCAATAAGCTGGCCACCAAAACAATGCGTTTGTCGCGCTTATCGGAAGTTGTTGTCGAACCGCTTGAAGGTGTATCCAATGAAGGGCAAGCTCATCTCGGGAGACTCCTCGACCACCGCTGGCACACCCGAGCGGGCTTGCTGAACGGCCTGAGCCTTGAGAATCGTGGCGTTATCAGTCTGATCAATCTCATCGGTCGGGAAGTACGTGGTATCGATGGCTGAAGTCAAGCGAGGCTCGAAAGGAGCTCTGATGCGACGCAGGCTATCGAACTCAACTCCTCTGAAGAATGAGTGCTGCTTGATTTCGTGGGCGCCCGAGCGACCCAAGCGGTTCTCTGTGTTACAGATCAAGCTGACCCATATTAGTACCCTAAAATGCCTCTGTTCTGAGACTTACTCACCTTCTAATCAGGTTCTCGGCTTCCACACCAAGCTGGATATCATCAGGGAAGTACAGCGTTTGTCTCCAATTGACAATCTTGCGGTATGTGTCGTGGCTATCCTCGGCGCAGAAAGGAGGCCATCCAACCAAGCACTCAAACATAATGGTGCCCAGGGACCACCAATCGCAGTCGAAGGTGTAGCCGTGACCTGTGAAGATCTCGGGAGCGATGTAATCGGGCGTTCCGACGGTGGAATAGGCCATCAGTCTTCTCGACCGACGCCAGTCGTTGATCTGGGATCTGTTGCTGACGGTAAGGTTGATCTGGTCAATGGCAACAGAGTTACGGTCGCGCGGTTTGTTAGATCGGCCCTGCAGCAGCTGTTGGTAGTAGTTGTTGTCGTGCAAGCGGTTGAAACCGGTCGAGAGTCCGAAATCGGTAAGCTTGACGTGACCTCCGCGGTCCAGTAGAATATTATCGGGTTTGATATCACTGGGCCTGTCAGCTTCGCGGGCTCTGAGCTTACCGACAAAATTTGACTTACCGATGAATGAAGCCCAGCTTGTGGACTGCCTCAATCGCAAGCACGATCTCGGCAATGTAGAAGCGCGTAATGTCTTCAGAGAAGATTTCGTACTTGATCAGCATGGTCATCAAGTCACCTCCGGGCAAGAACTCCATCAACATGTACAGGAAGTAAGAGTCCTGGAAAGTCGTAAAGAGCTTGACGACCCAGGGACTGTCTGACTCGGCCAAGATATCTCTCTCGGAACGGACGTGGGCAAGTTGGTCCTTCTTGAACATCTCCGTCTTTATCAGAGACTTCATGGCGTACACCTTGCCATCATTCTTCTTCTGGACCAGCTTGACTTCTCCGAAAGCACCCTTGCCGATGATCTTGATAGTGTTGTAGTTCTCGGGCTTGTCCTTGGTTCGTAGGAATCGCAGGTATTGACCCTCCTTGCGACCGGCCGTGGACCAAATCTGCTCGCGCCTTTGCTGGCTCTGGCCAGGCTCGGAAAGCTTCACCTCCATCTCGGATTGTCTGTGTAACGAGAGATTAGCACGTGGCTGCTTTCGAGCTGGCAAGTCTTTGTCCTGCACTCACCTCTGGTTGCGTTCTCTAGCACGCTTGACGCTGTCCTTGAAGAAATCGGATGCCAATTGGGTACACTTCTTCTGGTTGTTGTTGGCGTTCGGGCCGTACTTCTCGTAGAGTCGCTCAGGAGCAGGAGCAAAGACCTCGACGGGAGCTGCCTGCTGGTTCGGCATCGGCGGCGTCGCATAGTGTCCGTAACCCTGAGGCGTCTGTCCCGAGGCACCGGCAGTGCGAGGTCTTTGAGCGGGCGAGGGCCCACGGGAACCGTAGGGCGACGCCCGAGCAGCGCCGCCTAGGTTTTGGTGAGAGAATTGGTGGGCGAGACCGACATTGGGATCATTGGTCCCCGGGGTGTTGGATCGAGGCTGATAGCCCGCGTTGTAGTCGCCGTGGCCCTGGGGAGGATATTGGCCCTGCTGCTGGCTCGGGTGGAAGTAGCCCTGTTGAGCATAACCGGTCGCATACTGCTGTTGCTGCTGCTGCCCCGGGTGTTGCTGCTGTTGGTGCTGCATACCGCCGGCTTGTTGGTGGTGCTGCTGCTGCTGTTGGCCTTGGTGAGGGAAGACGGGCTGAGGAAAGGTAGAAGGCGTGGTGGGATATTGTCGGTCGCCGCCGGGACCCAGACGATCGTTTTGGTTACCGATGTTGAGGTAGAGACGGTTATTATTACCCTCCATTGTGTAGAAGTTTCGTCTTGACTCGGGGGGGCACGTCGTGTGCGGGTAGGGGTTGGTAGTTGCGCAGGCTG